TTCGAAGATTGTAGAGCTATTTTTAAGTTGAATCTTGAAAGACGAGATTTTCATCTTCTAAAGTTTTCTAAGTTCTTTTTCGCTACCGACATAAGCTATTTTAGAAGCCATTCAAGCATCACAGACATGTAAAAGCCATTTAAGCACCATTATACTAGTCAGAAACGCTTCGTTTTATTAGAGTAAACAATGTGTATATTTATAACAGTGTCTCCAGCCTTATTACTATTGATTATAGTTTTACAAGCCGCTACAGAAAAAACGGCTACGAAAATTTTACTAAAACCTGGACAATAGTAATGCATGCAGTATTGAGTATGACATAGGGTAGTGTTAAAAGTAATTTAAACACCTTCATATTTTCAGCTTGAAGAATATCTCTTAGTCCTTCACTGTCTGCCATTGAAAAAATCCTGTGTTTCACTAATGCACATTAATTGGAACATAATTAGTGCACCTTATAGCGCATTAATTGGAAGCAGCTACGTTAAGGGTTCGTCATTTCTCTAGTTCACTGTTATAATTTGTTTCTACGTGGTTTTCTGCAACTATTTCAGTGAGTTTTCTAACAGTAGACGATTACCATAGTAAATTTCTCTACTCTTGTCAGTGGTGATCTATTCTACTGATTTTCGTACTTCGCTTCGTCAATGCGTGTTTAAACGAAACCTCAGGCACAAATCTACCTGGTTCAATTACTAATGGTTGGGTGGAAAATAAAGCCAATGCAGCGGTAAACTGTTGAAAAACATGTAATATTCAACAGAATACACATGCACGTATATAGCTTAAACTTTATTCTCCATAAGTGGACATAAAAAAACTTAAGAAACAATACTAATCAATTTTAATGGAGTCAAAATAGGAATTTGTAGCTTGAGAATATAATCTAAACACTGTTACCAGCCTAATTTGTTTACATTTTAAAGTCCCTAGTTGTAGGCTTGAAAATATAATACTTGCATTTTGATTCAACTTGTTTCTGTACTTTTTTGACGATCCCTATTCCCTTTTTTAAATTAACAATTTTTAATTATCATGTTACAAAACAGTTCAGTAAGTTACAACGCCATAATCCATATATACGTGTATGGTAGTTTTATAAACTAACATACTAATCAGTTGGGTGATATATAAAATTGTACACATTTTTTTAATATTTTTGTTTTGAATAACATTTTGTCTGTTAAAAAATAGTCCTAACTATATAGTCTAGCTATTGGCAACTCAATTCTGTTTATAAACTATATATCCTAGTTATTGGTAATTTAAGCACAAAAATGAACAGCACATATTTTTTGCTATATTGAAGAGAGTGAAATAAATATGCCAAAATACATGATACATACCTGTTTTAAATCCCATAATGAGCTGAGAGGAATGAAAGAAAGTTGTTGTTGTGGTGATTAGTTGTTTTAGAGCAAAGTCACTTTGGCTATCTGCTGTGTTCACCGCAAGGAATCCAACCCCGGATTTGAGCATTGTAAGTCTGTACATTTATCGCTGTCCCACCGGGGGACATGAAAGAAAGTCACATTCGCATTCAAACTTGTTTCACTACGTTTATTAGGCCTTCTTTGATGTTTTTTATGGATATATTTCAGACAAACTGAACGCGTTAGTGGAATTAAAGATAAATATAAGACGGGAAATAAATCGTTATCACTTCTAACACACAGTCAGTATCATTTGATTAGGTTTTTTTAAATTTAATTTGATAACACTGATTACAACACACTCGGAAAAAATTCAAATAACATGCCATCTGTGATACTATAACATATTTGTAATAAAAGCAATGAACGGTTGTGCAGTCTTTTGAAAAAAAATATTAAGCAGCACAAAAAATGTATAAACTTGTGAAATGGCACATCCCTGTATAAAAACTATTGAACAACCCACATTGCCGTATAAAAAAGTGAACAATGCACATGATCGTCTGAAATAGTGAACAAAACAATTCATATAACTGTCTAAACAAGTGAACAATGCAAACCACTGTATAAACTAGTGAATAACTGATATCACTGTCTAAACAAGTGAACAATGCACACCACTGTATAAACTAGTGAATAATTGATATCACTGTCTAAACAAATGAACAATGCACATCACTGTATAAACTAGTGAATAATTGATATTACTGTCTAAACAAGTGAACAATGCACATCAACATATAAATTATTGAACAATTCATATCACTGTCTAAACAAGTGAACAATGCACACCACTGTATAAACTAGTGAATAATTGATATCACTGTCTAAACAAGTGAACAATGCACACCACTGTATAAACTAGTGAATAATTGATATCACTGTCTAAACAAGTGAACAATGCACATCATATCAATTATTCACTAGTTTATACAGTACTGTCTAAACAAGTGAACAATGCACATCAACATATAAATTATTGAACAATTCATATCACTGTCTAAACAAATGAACAGTACACATCACTGTATAAACTAGTAAACAATTCATATCACTGTCTAAACAAATGAACAGTACACATCACTGTATAAAGTAGTAAACAATTCATATCACTGTCTAAACAAATGAACAGTACACATCACTGTATAAACTAGTAAACAATTCATATCACTGTCTAAACAAATGAACAGTACACATCACTGTATAAACTAGTAAACAATTCATATCACAGTCTAAACTATAGGGACACTCAGTACAGCGTATACCTCCGCTACGCAGCGTTGATCATATTTTGTCCTCAAAAAATACCAAAATATATTCGTATGTCCGTCGTTATCAACGGATACAAACGGTTTTTGGCAGGACAATGGGAAATAATATTCTACATAGGTCCACCAAGTTTAATCAAAAGTCGATCATTTTTAACTGAACTAGAGAGCTATAAGAGGGAATCATCAGTAACCGCGGCTGTAATTAGATCTCAAATTGGTCAAGAGATGGAGCCATGAGCTAAAAGTTTGTGTTTGAAAAATAAAGTCAGAGCCATTGTATGAGCCGCTATGCCGAGGCTAAAAAATAATGTGAAAAATCGGTCCCCATGTTAACACATAGGGATTTTTTGGATTTTTGTGACTTTGACCAACCAAAAACTAATGGCTACTAACTTGGGTCATAGTCCAAATGCATACCAACTTTCGTCCAAATCCATTCAGCCATTTTCGAGATATCTTGCTGACAAACACACAAACAAACAAACACACACAGGGTTAAAAACTTGACCTCTGTCACCTTAGGTGGCGGAGATAACAAGTGAACAATGCATATCAACATATAAGCTAGTGAACAATTCAGATAATGATATAATTAGTGAACAATTCACATTATCGTCTAAATAAGTTAGCAACTTACATCACCGTCTCAAATTCTGAATTAGTGGACAACTTACATCGCCGTCAAAACTAGAGGTCAATTCACATTACTGTCTAAACTAGTGAGTAATTCACATCGCATTGTAAGTTAGTGGATAACTGACATTACCATCTAAATCTGTTGATAATTCCCATAACTTTCTTTGATGTTTCTTTTGTACAATATCTATATTTATAAATTATCAACTTCCCTAGTTCAAACTGCCATAAACGGACACATAAACAAACCTTTTGTCCTATAACAAATTCACGAAGGTGGTTTCTAAATCGTGTCGTATGATTGGTACGTTTCTTATGAATAGGTAATTAAACTCACGTGCTTTGTGCCTTACAAGTTAGATTAAGATACGTCATACTTCTAATGGTTGATACATTTTCGAGAGTGGTAAATCTCGTATATTTAATGGCTGGTAGCTTCCACGAGCGTGGCTCTACAACTAGATTTGCAATACTCAAGTGAATGAAGTCAACATATTAATTACTTCTTACTTAGGTTCACAAAATACTGAATTATAACTTTAACTTTTTTTTCAAGAAGAACTGATTTTTCTACATGTGATTCTCTATCGCAAAAATGATATTCGAAAAGGTTTGTATTCAGTTTTTATGGAACTTCTTGGTAACTTTTATTAAACTAAAACAATAATAATATTGTGTAGAGTTTGTATTCAGTTTTTATGAAACTTCTTGGTAACTTTTACTAAACTAAAACAATAATAATATTGTGTAGAGTTTCTATCATTAATTGTTTAGTATATAGTGCTTCTCTCTCTCTCTCTTCTTTCGGTTTAGTCCGAATTATACCTAACAGGAGAGGATTGGGATGTCTTAAAACTACAATATAAGCTTCTTATCATATCATACCAGTCCACTAGAAATATCACAACTAATACTACTACTCAGTTTACCGTAGACGGGAAGAACTACATATACTCGAGTAAATATCATTTATTTAACGTCGTTTATAGATCTATAAGCCAAGAAAAAAGAAAATAGCCACAGTTACGATGTCGATTTTCTCTAAAATAATAGTAGGAAACTTCAAGTTCGGAAAAATAACTAATTGCGATTGGTTTACTTAGATATCGGTAAACTTTGGGTAACAAATAATATATAAACAGAAGTTGAAGTGTTTAAAATATATATATATGTGTGAAGATTTTTTTTATTACCGCAGGTATACTTCAGTGACAGCATACTTATGGAACTGTACAATATTTAACGTTTGAAATAGCAAGATAAAAAAAAAGTTTATGCGCACGATGATAAGAAGAACAACAAGATGATACTAAAACTCTCAGAATAACGTCATCACCTGTCTATCATTTCTTACTGGTAGGTTTTATGTGGTTGGCAAGTCGCTTTCCTGTTCCTGAGACTAAACTGCAAAGTAAATCGTTATATTTTCCTGCTCCTAGGGGGTCTTTTATCATTAGCAATGATACTAAATGAAGCAACTTTCTTGATAAGCCTAGATTTATATGTCTACCAAACTGTTTCATTGCGAGTTTCTGCTCCGTTAAACTCTACTGCTCAAAGCAAACGAGCTTGTGTTAGAAAAGGTTTTATTGCTTTCTCTCTTCAGATAACTATTTGGCCTGACATCTAGCGGCCAACTACAGAACTGTATTCAATCGCACAAGTTGCCGTCAAACGTACTAGTAGTTCGAGTGAGATTCTGTCAACTTGGTAACGTTCCTTGCAGTTTGTTGGCCGTATATACACATGGCTAATCCAGCTAGTTCGTGAGACGTATGTAAGCATTCTATAGCTGTAATTGCCATGAAACATCTTGAGATATTCAAGAGGGTTTTCTCTACTGTAAGCGGGGTACATTAGTAATTTGTGAGTTAGCACGAACTGAATCCTGGATTAGTAAATCTTACGATGGTTTTTAATGCTGGGACGTCTAATGGGGTCTCTGTACGGAACGACTCGTTCAGTCGACCAAGAAAACTGAGTTTACAAGTGGTGTTTCCCAAGCCTTCACTCTCTGGATATGCAGCAGCGATAGAGAATGCACGTGACGCTCAACTAGCAAGTGTGAGCCGTCGCAAGCTGAGCCAGGTGACTCATAAATTGTCCACGACCATGGGCTGGCGTGCAAACATTTCGCATAACGACGTGGTGAACCAGGCTCGAACCATGTGTGGCCGCTACTTACGATATAAACTTCGTGCATGTGGGCCTGTGCATAAAAATCTCGGTCTCCAACGCCTCAGAAGCCTCACCAAGATCTCCAATGATCCTGTCCTCATGAGCGTAAGTGAAGAACTACTCCACGTGACGGATCTTCTGGAGCGTCAAAACCCTCGTCTGTTCCTTAGTGTCATGGACAGCGTTGGGATCCAGTCATTAGTCTCTGAAACATCCATGCTGAACCTGTTCCAAGCGGTGGCGGACGAAATAATGCGGCAGGACATTTCATGGGGTCGGATTGTTGCTTTGTATTGCGTAGCTGGAGGATTAGCCCTGGACTGTGTTCGACTCGGACATCCTGAATACGTGTTAAATCTGGTGCAAGGTATGGGCTCCGTGATAGAAGGTGATGTGGCAGCCTGGATTGTGTATCAGGGTGGATGGGTAAGCTTTTTGACTTGTAACAAAGATGTAAAAATACTGCATAATCAAGAGTGTTGATGTAAACTACAGACAGGTACACATTCATAAAGTACACGAAACGTCAACAAAAACTGTGAAGTAAGAACAAACAAAGACAATATACAACTAACTTGATATTAATAGAAATGAACTCTTTTTACACAAAAGACAGAAAATCAAATGTTACCAGCCACACCGAAAACTGCATAGCGTTCACCGCTAAACCTAATAACTTGGTTTTATAGTTACTGTTGCTAAGTTACAATGGTGATAATAAATGTGGGTAACTATAACGATTGATATATGAATTAGAAGATGGTTTTACAATCTTACAAAGTATATACAAAAAAAAAGAATAAACACACTGCTCACTGCGAAAAGCGAAACAAATGTCTGTTTTAATTAAGCCTGAAAAAAAAAACAATTAAAATACACACAAAAAAGTGGATTTTAATAGCACGGGATTTGTTCTGCACGAGATATATTTTGACTGCGAAACTAAGCTCGCCATTATTTTTTACATATAAGTAATATAGGGGGAAGTGGTTTTGTAAATAGATAAAAGATATTAGTACTGGTTTTATGTATAGCTGAAATAAGTTCTAATATAGAATTCTACTAAAACTTTCTTCAAAAGCAAGATCAGTTCCCCAGTTCTGTATTCATAGTGGTTCAAGATCAGTTTCCCCAGTTCTGTATTCATATTGGTTCAAGATCAGTTCCCCAGTTCTGTATTCATAGTGGTTCAAGATCAGTTCCCCAGTTCTGTATTCATATTGGTTCAAGATCACTTTCCCCAGTTCTGTATTCATATTGGTTCAAGATCAGTTCCTCAGTTCTGTATTCATCCTGGTTCTTATCAGATTAATCGTATATGAAGTCAGTAATGGAAAATAAAGTGATATATGAAGTTTTACCCACAAATTCTTCCTACACTCTTCTCTTATGTTGTTTGTAGTAATATATATATATTTTTACTCTTAACAAGTCCAGCTGAAGATACTTGATGATGAATTATCAGCTTCACGGTTTGGGGATTTTTTTTTCATGTGATACTCTTCGGTTTCATGTAATATTGATTAATCACGATGTCATTCGAACACCAATGGATATTATTAGTTATTAGTTTCTTTCAAAACTTCCATTTATCTCTAAACATTAATCACACTAATACTATATACACTGTACCGACGGCATATCAAGCACCATTAAAAAAAAGCTAAGTAGCAACCAATGAGCAGATGGATAACTTTTGTTGATGGTGGGTTTACCGTAGAGCACGAGAAGTTAATGATTAGACAGTTGTACGTATTCGTCTCACGTTTCAACAACCCTATTTAATCAAGACTGTACGCACTATTCTTTAAACAAAAATAACGTATGTGAAACCTGTGATATTTTATAAAGGCCAAATTAGGAACATATTTGTTTTTGTGAATATTTGGACTTACTTTAACGGTAAAACTTGACAGAATAGTTCTTTAACAAGTAGAATAGCCTAATTTGTATTAGTTCTTTAACTAGTAGAATAACCTGATTTGTTTTATTTCTTTAACTATTAGAATAGCCTGATTTGTTTTAGTTCTTTAACTAGTAGAATAGCCTGATTTGTTTTAGTTCTTTAACTAGTAGAATAACCTGATTTGTTTTAGTTCTTTAACTGGTAGAATAGCCTGATTTGTTTTAGTTCTTTAACTAGTAGAATAACCTGATTTGTTTTAGTTCTTTAACTAGTAGAATAACCTGATTTGTTTTAGCTCTTTAACTAGTAGAATAGCCTGATTTGTTTTAGTTCTTTAACTAGTAGAATAACCTGATTTGTTTTAGTTCTTTAACTAGTAGAATAGCCTGATTTGTTTTAGTTCTTTAACTAGTAGAATAGCCTGAGTTGTTTTAGTTCTTTAACTAGTAGAATAACCTGATTTGTTTTAGTTCTTTAACTAGTAGAATAGCCTGATTTGTTTTTGTATATATAATCAAATCATCATTGATTGGTACATTAAGATAGTTTTTACTTTTTAGCACAAACGTTTCGCATCAACTTGAATCAAACGAAATATAGCTGTTACAATAATTATGTTCATAAAACTGTCTTTGTATGTATATGCTTAACTTTACATAAAACGTCAAAGCATGGTATTTAACATTGGTGAAATAGAGATATCAAACAAAATATAAACGCTTATAATTATCTTGGCGACAGATTATGAATAATTAAACTATTTCGGTTACAAATAGATTAGGTCATCTCAAACATTTCTTTGGGAAACAAAAAAAAAAGAGGAAATTACACTAAAAGCTACTGTTGACTAGCATTTTTTTCCTATGTATATTCTTTTTCAATATGGATAAAAGAACTATATTAGAAAGGAAAAGAACTATTTTAGAATTACCATGAAAAATATATGAGACCAACGTGAACATTTTCGAAGAGTTTTTTCTTCTTTTTTTCAAGTCTGGATATAAATAATTATTTTTCTTTGCTAATATATTATACGAGGGGTATGAAAAATAAACACGGTTATTATTCTTTACTATTATATTATACGAGGGGTATGAAAAATAAACACGGTTATTATTGACTGAAATCGACTTCTATTTAGAATACAGCCAGGAAACGATTTCCATTAGTGATGAGGTGGGCGTGTGAAACCAAACATCATTTCACATCAGAAACCCTGTCAGCATGATGCATTTCCGCCATTGTTTCATTAGTTTCGTCATATAAATTTGGTAGAGTATTGTATTTGTTACAATTCCGTTTGAGTGAAGTTACTTGAAGAAAGTCACCAGTTTAGAGCACTAGTCACAGCAGTCTAGTCACAAACACAGGTCTGTCACAACCACCTTGTTGGTAAATAGGATTTTTTCATGAAAACAAACCAAACTGACAGAATATTCATATGTAAATCGTAATGGTTTCTCGTTGTACTTACATTTTGTGGTCCTGGTATTGAAACGCTAGTCTAGAAGTATATGTTGTTCAGGCAGATCGTCCTTGAAAGGAAGGAAGTAGCAGGCAGGCAGAGTGTGACGGGTATTTTGGTTTGAAGTTTTTCCAAAATTTATATTTTGAAATTGGAAAGACAGGCGGGGATGCTCAGAAAAATATTTTTCTCTTCATGAAAGTCGCAAAGTATTGGGTCAGGACTATATGTAGGATGAGACTGCCCCTCCTCCTCCGAGCTTCTCAGTTGTATTTATTACATCAGGAGCAATAGATTACCATTACATCAGGCCTGGATTACCATGATACAGGAGAACATCTTCCATTTCTTTGCTGGTGCGCTTAGTGCCTGAGCGCAAGCAAGTTGCATCAATGTCATAGTGTAACGTTTTGCATTGGTATGACATTTAGTGGCAGACAATCATGCAACGATTACTAAACCCAGATCAACATCTTTTGTAGTTGTCAACAATCATACAGAGAGTACATAAACACCCGATATTCTGACCAACATTTCTTGTAGATTTAAACAATCATACAGCGAGTACAAAACCCGTTGTTCAGACCAACATTTCTTGCAGTTCTGATTATGTAATTCGGTTGTATTACATCTATCGTATAAACATATGATACCATTATCTGGATTATTCTTCAGTTGCAATTTACTTGTACTCAGCGTATGAGAAAGAAAATAACGTTTCTTCCTGACTCCCTCCCCCTCTCCTTATATTTTGTATACATATAGGGAGATACCAATGAAACTAGTAGTACTTGTCACCTGTCGTTTTAAAGTTTCAGGTCCAAAAAGTCTATTAAATTGGTTTTTTATATATATATAAGAGGTACTAAATTAGGTAACTTTGTTTTCATTCGTTAAAGCTTTTGTTGAAAATTTTATGAAACTTATTTCTTTGGTATTAGTTTCCAGACAAAAAAAAAATCAGATTTAGATCTAATCATGAAATACACCAGGTGTCTTTTAAACAAATTTATTGTAACGACACGTTTAAAAATGTACTTGACATATTATACTCGAGATAAGTTTGAAAGCAAGCCAGCAAACGATTCATAGGTGTGAAAAGGTTTGTTCCAACAATGAAAACTCTCTAATTGTTATAGTCTGAACGTTTTTTACTAGCTAGCGAAGCATGTTTATTATCAATTATAACTCTCATAAGACGTTTGTATCAGGCCTATTATATTTTTCACACAGCATTCTTTATCCAGTCCTAAAGAGTGTATAATAATAGTATTCCAACCACACCATGTTCGTCATATCCATTGCTGACAACTTGTTTCGCTCAATACAGAGCTCATCAGCCCGGCTGGGACACAAGAAACACATTAGTGGTCTAACACAAGCCATTTATACAAGCCATTTGTTACAACAACAATTGTTATGATGTGAACTCCTTTTACAAGCTAGCGAAGCATGATTATATATATAATTCATTATAATTGTCATAAAACATTAGTGTTAGGCCTACTATATTGTTTAACACTGTATTATTTTCAAGAAATAGGAGTGTGTATAATAATAGTATTCCAACCACACCATGTTCTCCATATCCTTTACTGAAGATGCAGTTTTCTGAATCCAGAGTTCATCAGATCATCTGAGATACAACACATACACACATAATAGAGATTAAAACACTACTTATATAAGCCATTTGTTACAACAACAATTGTTATGGTATGAACTCCTTTTTCAAGCTAGCGGGCCCCCAGTGGCACAGCGGTATGTTTGCGGGCTTCAACGCTAGAAACCGGGTTTCGATACCCGTGGTGAGCAGAGCACAGATAACCCATTGTGTAGCTTTGTGCTTAATTACAAACAAACAAACCAAGCTAGCGAAGTATGATTATAGTTTATTATAATTGTCATAAAACATTAGTGTTAGGCATATTATATTTTTTAAACAATGAAACGCTAAAAAAAATAGCATAGGTCTGATACTAATGTTTTATGATAATTATAATTGGGTGATGTTGTAACTGTTTTAGTTTTAGCATAGGAAACGAAGAGCGAAAC